AGCCTGGGCTACATAATGAGTTCAAGGGCAGGATGAACTACACAGAAAGACCTTGTCTTTAAAAAAAAAAAAAAGTGATTTTGAAAGCATGGCTCTTTCCCTCAGTTCATCTTTTTCTCTTTATTCTATACTAGTAGATCATTTCTCATAAACTATGTATATTAAGCTTAATAGCCAATTTGGGTTTGGGTTTGGTTTTGATTTTGTTTCTGTTTTGAGACAGGTTCTCACTGTGTAGCTGAGGCTGGTCTTGAGCTCGAGGCAGTTCTCCTGCCTCAGCCTCCAAATACTGGGATTACAGGTGTGGGCCACCACATTCAGGCAGTTTGGGTCTCTGATTTTCTGAAATCCCTACCCAAGCCACGAAACTCCCCTGCAGGTACTTGCTAAGTTCGTCTTGCTAGGGAAACAAAGTGCCCGAGGGGAGTTGGAAAGGGAAAGACAGGGTGAGGGTGGCCCTGGCCATGTGTGCCAGGACCCAGCTCCTGAGAGGATGCGGGGTCTGGAGAGAGAGCCTGACTGCCCCTGCAGGCCCGTCTGAGCTCGGGAGGAAAATCACTGTGACTGGCCTCGGCCTGGAGCTGTTGCTGCTTTTTCCATGGAAGAGCCCGGAGCACGGCTGCCCTGGCCGCACCTGGGCTTCCTTCCCCTGGCAGATGCTGCTCCTGGCACAGTTGGTAGCCGGGTTTAGTGGTCATCGTGTGGTCAGCACAGCCATGGGAAAACACTGAAGATGCTGTCAGAGAAAAAGACAGACCCACCAGAACTTCAGAAAACAGAGCTCGCTAATTCACTGAGCAAGGAAACGTGTGCAAAGTGTGCAAACACACATGTGTGTGCACACACACCATGAAGGGGAAGCGAGGAGTTTGCACATCCTGGCAGGTGATTGTTTTACACTGCCACGCCTGGACACCTGAACTGTCCCCAAGCACTCAGTTCTGTGGAGTTAAGCACATTTCTGTCGTGCAGCCATCACCACGGTCATCTCCAGAACGTTTTTATCTCCCCTGCTGAGACTTACACCATTAAACGGAAACTCCCTAGTCCCCACCACCACCTTTTTATTTGCTGTCTCTCTGAATTTGATGACTCTGGGCCTGGAAGGAATCAACAGGACTAATTGTAGAACTGGTCCTTTCACTTGGCACGGTGTCCTCAGGGTTTGTTGGTGCCCTAGAATCCCTGTGTCAGAATTCCTTCCTCTTCATGGCCGAATCGTATTCACCTGTGTGGGCACCACCTCCTGTTGATCCCTTCATCCTTGGGGCACACTTGCATTGTTTCTTTGAACAGTTGTGTGTGCAGATGCCTACACACATCATGCCCTCATTTGGATATATACTGGAAGTGGGGCTGCTGGGTCCCACGACCTTTGATGAGCAGATAAAATGCTTGGCCTCTGGAGGGTCCTCCACACCATCCTCCATGGTGGCTGCACGTTTGGTGTCCCCAGCAGCAGGGCCCAGTGCTCAGCGGTGACCCTGGCAGGTGGGGCTGCTCCCCGGGGACCCTTCCTGCGTCAGAAGGCCCTGGGCTTAGTGTCACTTGGCTGAGAGGCAGTGGGAACTGCACCCAGGTACTTCTGAGGGGTGTCCCCAGACCCGGGGTGGGGGGTGCTGGCTGCTGTGGGCCTTTGCTGTCATGTGAGGACATCGAGGCCACAGCTCACAGACGGCGGCTTCTGAATCCAGGCCCAACCAGAGAAAGCCACGGCAGTGGGGACCCCATGTAGCTCTGAGGGGGCTTTTGTTCATTTGTTTGGGTTCGGTTTTGGTTTTGTTTTGGTTTGGTTTTTGTGGTACTGGAGATGGAATTCAGGACCTTGCACTTGCCAGGCAGATGCGGTGCCACTGAGCTACATCCCCAGCCGATTGTTCATTTGTTTGTGATACTAGGGATTGGACCCAGGACCTTGACACTGAGCTGCATCCCCAGCCCTTTTTACATTGTTTTAAATTTTGAGACAGGGTCTCAGTCTCACCAAGTCACTAAGTTGCCCAGGCTGGGCTTGAACTTGCAGCCCTCCTGCCCCAGTCTCCCAGAGTGCTGGGGTCACAGGTGTGCACCACCACGCCCAGCTGAAACTGTGCAGCAGCCAGGGGAGGGAATAAATCACTGAATAACTTTCAGCCTGGTAGCCTAAGAAACATCACCCCTCCCCATTGGAGAAATGCTCTGCTTCTCCTTCGGACTCTGCGCATAGCTAGCTGTGATGTAATCGCGCGATGTCAGAAGAAGGGTGTGTGCACAACAGAGCGCACCCATTCACAGAGTGGTCATCTCTGGACACGGTTACAGCTGTTCTGGTTCACATTATTGCTGACTCTCCCACCAAGTCTAACTCGCGCATTAAGCTCTCCTGTGGATCCACGGTAGGCGACAGTGGAACAGCTGGGGCCCTGCACTGCATGTTGTCTGGCAGCCCCGGCCCCGGCCCTCTGCCTGTGTCTGTGTGCGACACAGCACATCCTGGGGGCGGCCAGATCACCTCTGGGTGACTTACGACATGGGGTGTTTCTGGCTCTGGTTTCTTGGGGACCCAGGCTGGAAGGGGGTTCCTGGCAACCCTTGTTTCATGAACGTGGAGGCAGGGAAAAGGGCCTGCTGAGCTTGGGGCTGGCTTGTAAAGCCTGTGCCGGAAGTGACTCACGGTTCACTCATCTCATCAGTCATGTTGCCATACTGGGGTCAAAGGGCAGGTCAGAGGTTAAAGGGATCCAGCCCTGTGCATATTGAGGGGCACAGACGTTCACAAATCCCAAATGCTCACCACAGGAAAGACCTGACAGCCATGGTACTGCAAATGGCAGAAGTCCTCAGAATACAGAAATGAGATTCAGTAGAGATTGACAAAGAGAAGACTGTCTTGTCCAAAAATAGGTGTTTCAAGCCAGGCGTGGTGGTGCACACCTGTAGTCTCAGCTGCTCGGGAGGCTGAGGCAGGAGGACTGTAAGTCTGAGGCCAACATGGCAACTTCACAAGATCCTGCCTCAGAATAAAAAAGTAAAAAGGCCTGGGGACGTAGCTTAGTGACAGAGTGCCCCTGGGTTCCATTTCCAGTAATGCAAAAAACTCGCCACGCAGCTATTCCAGGGGAAGATGGCTCCCACCTCCTCACTTGCCCTGTGGAGAAAGTCCATCCTGTAAGGCCCTGCATTGCAGAAACTTTCCTGAGGACCCTGTCTGTAGGACTGGCTGGCACTGATGCTCCCGGGAGCTGGGTCACAGCCCTGGGCGTCAGACCTACTCTCCCGTGTGTTTAAATGCCCCTGATAAGATGTGCCCTTTCTGTCTGTCGCCCTCAGCCGCACCCTATCTGTGGCATCTGTCAGCTGGTTCTCGTCCCCATCCCCAGCTACCGAGTGTGACTTCAGTGGCATCGGCACATTGTTTGGATTCTCTTACTGGCCTTCCCTTTGCTGTAAGGTACTCAGCTCTTCATGAATAGCATTTGAAGATATTCTTTGATGATCTCTTATTATATCTAATTATGTAAAGTGTGTGGGTTCATTTAGACCATGGGCCTCTGATGAAAAACAGCATTTGCTTTCCTTTGCTTCACCCCCCAACCCCCACTCCGCACAACCTGAGTGTGTGTGTTAGAGGTGGGGTCGGTTTCTCTGTTTGGCAGAGGAAAGGTGAGCCTGCCCTTAGGGCCTGGGCCAGGGGCCAGCGGCTCTGACCCGTGAGTGTTATGCTGGGTACAAAGGAGAGTGCTGAGGACAGCAGAGCTAAGTAGGGTGGTCCCTGTCCTCAAGTTGCCGGGGATAGTTCTGCCCCTGAGCTGAGCTATGTCCTGAGGAAGCTGAGGGAGTGAGCCAGGCGCAGGAAAGAGCATACAGGCAAGGGACAGCGAAGGGCAGGTGGGAGCCTCACATTGTTCTGTGTTGTGACAGTGTTTGAAGTCAGGGTATAAAGGATCGGGGCAGGCAGAGCAGACCTGAGCCATGCTGTGGAAGCTTTTGAGGAGCTTTCAAGAAGCTGGTGTTGTGGTTTAGACCTAAATTGGCCCACAAAGCCTCGTGTTTGGCGGGTGATTGGATTGTGAGACTCAGGGCTGACTTGGTCTCAGGAGTCGGGGCCTGGTGGGGTGAGGGGCCGCAGGGGCATGGCTTGAAGGGCTGCTCTCCCTTCCACTCTGCTTCCTGTCTGCCCTACCCCCTGTTGTGCCACCCTGCCTGGGGTCTGGGGTTCTCCCTTTGTGCAATGAGCGAGTGACGTTGACTGCCCGGCAGATGCTGTGTTACAAGCGGAACGTGCTGGGAACCTCCCCGTTACACCTCTGCCATGGGCACAGACGCACAGGAACAGCTCTGGCTGAGTGTCCTGGGTCCAGCAAGCACCCGGGTGCTCCCCGCAGACGGCCGTGAGCCCTGCTGTGAGGCCTCTCAGGGACATCGTCGCTCTGGCCCAGTGTCCTGGTGGTGTCCTGTGCAATTGGATCCCTCGCATACCTGGTGGCGATGCCGGGCTGTGCCCCCCAGTGTAGCTGAGCCCCACTCAGGGCCACTGAGCTGGGAGAGTGACAGGGTAATTCAGGCCTCTTCATCTCCCGGGCTTCTCTGGCACATGCACCAGGGCCCTCCAGGTGCCGGGTCACAGGCCTGCGCCACCAGGCCTGCCCTGAGGTAAGTTTTCTGTCATATTCTGGAGCAATCTACACTTGCCTGCCTACATGCCCCGCCCAGCGAACTCCACTGCCTACGCCAGGGCCTGTGTTTTCATCTGCACGTGGACTGGTGGCTTCCTGAGATGGAGGCACACAGCCCTCCTCTGCGTGTGGGCTCCAGCGTGGGGCCTCGAAGCTGGCCCAATGGTGACAGTCTGTGATGCGAGGCCTCTTACCACGTTAGCAGGAGGCTTCCTTCCCCGGCCCCGCGGCCCCAGAGCCTGGCTTGTGGCTCTCTGCCTCCATGTGCAGTCCCTCTGTTCCCGTGTTCTCACGGCCACCTCACAGGCTTCCTGGTCTCCGCTGATGTCCTCTCCTGTTTAACAGGCGCTGCAGAGCAACCTGAAGTACTCCCTGTTGCCACGCCGGCTGGTCATCAGCAAGAGGTTAGCGCAGTGCCTGCATCCCGCCCTGCCCAGCGGTGTGCACTTGAAAGCTCTGGAAACCTATGAGATCATCTTCAAGATCGTGGGGACCAAATGGCTAGCCAAGGACTTGTTCTTGTACAGGTACGGCTGCCCCTCCGTGTGCACGCAAAATCAGAAAATGACAAACAGGCAAAATAAGCGCAGGCCGCTGCTGCAGCTGGTCCCAACACCATTCTGTCTGCTCTTGAACCTGGCTGGGTGGGGTGTGGCTTGGGGGCAGAGCACTTGCCCGGTGTGTGCCAGGCCCTGGGTCTGTCCCGCACTGCAAGAGAGAAAACACAACCCCCCCAAACCCCAGCCCTCCCTCTGATCACGCGAGCCTGCCCTTTTGTGCCCACAGCTGCGGGTTGTTTCCCCTCCTGGCAAACGCGGCCATGTCAGTGCGGCCCGTGCTGCTCGGCCTGTATGAGAAGTACTTCCTCCCGCTGCAGAGGCTGCTCCTGCCCAGCCTGCAGGCCTTCCTTGTGGGCCTGCTGCCCGGCCTGGAGGAGGGCTCCGAGATCTACGACAGGTGACTGGGTCATTCCACTTCTCCCTGAGAGCAGGGAGGTACAGAGGGAGGGAGACCTTGGGCAATTCTCTGAGGTGCTGCTCCACTTAGTGCTGTGTTCTTTGGATTTTTTGAGACACAGTCTCACTATGTAGTTCAGGTTGGCCTTGAACCCTGTGTAGCCCACACTGGCCTTGAATTCACAGTGATCTTCCTGCCTCAGCCTCCGGAGTGCTGGGAGTGCTAGGATCACAGGTGCGCGTCACCACACCTGGCTTTTAAATTTGTGTTCTCTGTAACCTCACGTAATTGCTTAGCCGGGGGGAGGCCCCAAGCCTAGGCAGATGGGGTGCTTTACCTAGAGAAAGGTACTGATTAACGAGGGAGGCCATAGTGCAGATCCCCTTCGCGTCCCAGCTGTTAGAGTTACCCACAGTGTCGCAGCTGGGAGTCCATGCCTCCTCTGCCCGGGAGCCATGGACCTTTGTGTGCGCATCCTGCCCCTGGCCCACTGAATCCCTGCCCCCTGATGGTTGCCCCCATTCTTGGCTGGGGGTGCGGGTGGGAAGATGCCACAGTCACGAAGTGAGTGAGCCCAAGCGGCCTGACCACTCATGTCAGGTTCCAGAACCCCTTGTCTTTTGGCTTCTAAGTAAAAAAGCAAACCCAGGTTCATAAAGGCAGAGCTTAGAAAGGCAGCATCGGGATACATTTCAGCAGCACCTTGAGAATTTGTAAAGCTCATATGCACAGAAGTTCATGCGAGGGTTTGGTTTTGTTATATTTTGTGTGTTTTTTGCAGGCTCACTATGTAGTTCAGGTTGTTGTGAACTCACTGTGTAGCCCAGGCTGGCCTCAAACTCATGGTGATCCTCCTGCCTCAGCCTCCCAAGTGCTAGGAGTATAGCTGTGCACCACCACACCTGGCTCACACTGTTTTGTTGCTGCTTAGGAGTAAAAGAAAGTGTGGATCCATTCAGACTTTCAGACTATTGGGTATACACGTTGCCCTTTCCTTGGAGAATTATAAGGCACTCCGTTCCAAACCAGGCACCATGGCGCACCCCTGTAATCACAACTACTCAGGAGACTGAGGCAGGAGGATTGCAAGTTCAGTGCCAGACTGGGCAACTAGCAAGACCCTGTCCCCCAAATAAATTAAAAGTGTCCGGGGAGGTAGCTCAGTGGCAGAGCATCTGCCTGGCCAGTGTGAGCCCCTGGGTTCCATCCCCAGCACAGGACTGGACAGGACTTGGGACTTGACTGCAGCGTTGACAACACTGAGAGACACTGTGGCAATTGCTGTCTGCTAGCAGGGGCTGCTTTAAGAGCCTCCCTGCAGTGCGGTGAGTCCGCTTGGAGAAGTGCCATCTGACACGCAGGGCACCACCACATCTCCCTGGCGGAACAGGATGGCTTGGGGGCTGAGGGTGCCTTAACTGGCATCAGTACCAGGATCTGAGAAATGTAACTAGGTGTGCACCTCCGTTCAGGCTCTCGCGGGTGGGTTCTGCCCTTGCTTCATTCCTGGCCCTCCCTGGGAGGAAAGCTCTGCCCCGTTGGCACGAAGCATGGCTGGGCAGTGGGTTCGGGTCGTGGATGGGCAGGGTCACACCAGACCCTGTGCCTCCTGACTGCCAGCCTAGGCTCCTCTGGAAATTCCACTCCGTTTCCTGTTCTTATGACAGTGTGAGTTGTACCTGTGCATGTGTGTGCGCATGCGCACATCTGTGAATGGGGTTTTTCATCACCTGACAGATGACCGTGTTCCCCCAATGTTTTGCCATCTGATAAATTTGCAGACCTGTAAATATGGCGGTTGGAAGGTTTTTGTTTGTTCTCTTAGTTGATAAACGAGGGTTCATTTGAACAGTTGTTAAAGTTGCTTAACCTTGATGATTTTTTCCTGATGTTGTCATTTCTCGATGTTGAACCAAGAGCTGAGAGCTGCATGAATCACTGAGTGGACTCTGCTGTCACAGAAACCAAGCCTGGCACTGCCACACCCGGGAGCTGCTCGTTATCAGCTCTCCCAGGTCCATGCGGTCAAAGTTCCCGTAAGCTCTGAGCAGGTGGGAGATGGGCACTGCCAGCGAGGTGGCGGCCATGTTTGTGTCGTCACTGCTCCAGTCAAGGCTGCCTCAGCTTGGCAGCTGTTTACCAGAGCACCTGGGAAGGGAGCCAGAGGCGTTGGGGCAGGAGAGGGGTGCAGGTCACCGTGCCATCACGCAGATAGACCAGGCCAGGCTAATGAGTCCGGAGTAACTCAGAGGCTTTGTGGAGGCAGCTGTCCTGGTTTGTACTTTTTAATGAACTGGGAAATGGACTGAGGCCGGTGTTGGGCGGTGTTACTCGCCGGGCTCTGTGACCCTTTAAGGCCTGCACCTTATCCACTGCCGGCCGGAAACTTTTGAAAAGTGTCTGCGGAGTAGACACGCAGCAGTGTTTTGCTTGCTAAGAAACAAGATTAGAAGGGGAGGATGACTAAGTTCCTCCTCTATGGAGAAGAGGAGAAGTGAACATTTTAGTGGTTTGTAAAAGGTGCCCAGCGAGGTGGCACATGCCTGAAATCCCAGCACTGGGGAGGCTGAGGCAGGAAGAGATCCTGTGTTTACAAAAAATGGTTTATTAAAAAGCAGGAAGTGGCTTCCTGGAAATTTCCATTAAATCAGGGATTTTGCCTGGGGGTGATGTTGCCCAACCCCCTCCCATCTTGTTCTGGTCCTCATGGGGGAGGTGCTGCTGGTATTGAGCAGAGGCCAGGTATTGCAAAGGCCCTGTGATATACATGGCCACCCCACTACAAAGACACAGCCAGCCTGAGGGTGAACAGTACTGAGGCTTGACACACACTTGTTTGTTTACTTCCCTTTTCAAGGCAGAATCTTGCTGTGTTGCCCAGGCTGGTCTCCATCTCGTGGGCCCAAGTGATCCTCCTGCCTCAGCCTCCTAAGTAGCTGGGATTACAGGTCCACACCACCACGCTGCCTTGAGATTCCCTGATTTAAATAATCCAGTAGTATTTACATACCCTTCTTTTGGTTGGCTGAAGAATTCTGGGTCCTGGGCTGTCCCACCCCTTCTGTGGCCCTGGGTTTGACCCATGGGATAATTTTGTTGTTGTTGTTTGAGACAGAGTCTTGCATGTTGTTCAGGCTGGCCTTGAACTGTGTAGCTGTAGCCCAAGTTGGCCTTCAACTCATCGAGATCCTTCTGCCTCAGCCTCCGAGTGCTCCGACTGTGAGCCACCATGCCTGGTCCTGCCTGGGGAGCAGAGCGCTGTTGTTGCCCCCTCCCCCAGCTCTTTAGTTGCAGATGTCCCCAGAGCTGTGCTATGTCTCTGGCTCAGCTTCCCGCGGTTGTCCACAGGCAGGAGGCTGCACAGCAGAGCTGTGAGACACTTGGGTTTGCAGCACCAGCCAGGGCGCTCCAGAGCTCGAGTTGAGTTGAGGTCAGGGTTGCTGACTGAGCAGTGCATGCAGGAGGCACAGGAGGAAGGCTGGGAATGTGGGCTCTACTGTAGTTGGTGTTGCTGTTATTGGTAGGTTTTAAATTACAAGTTTAGGGCTTGGATTCTGAGCTGTGCACTAAGTTTGGATATTCAGACAGATGATCAGAGTCATTCTTGTTTGGTAGAAAGTCACTTAGAGCTGCGTTTTGCAGCACAGGCCTGTGATCCAGCCACTCAGGAAGCTGAGGCAGGAGGATCACAAGTTCAAGGCCAGCCTGGGCAGCATAGCAAAGCTGTCTCAAAATGAAATAGAATAGGCTGGGCATGGAGCGCTTGCCTGGCATGTACCACGTGAGGCCCTGGATTCAACCCGAAGTACTGCAAAAGGGGCATCCGTTTTTAATCCTAGTTACTTTGCTCTTCCGTTGTGAGGTTTGTGGTAATTGCTGGTTCCTCCACCATGACATCATTCAGATTCCTAGTATCCATGAATGTTTTCAGAACACAATGAAACCTAGAGAATAAACTCAGTGATGGACTATGAATATGGAGAGGGGGTGACATGCAGTGCTTCCCAGACTTGTATTCAAGAGGGGTCCAACAGAACCCCTTTCTGGAGAACATCTCTAGCAGCCAGTGTTCCATGAAGCCTTCTTTGGGGATGCGCTGGTCTGAGAAAAGGGGCTGTGATAGTAACGGTGTGTTGGGGGGGTGATTCCCAGGGGGTTTTGTCTGGGCGCTGGTGTTGTAGGAGGGACCCTAGAGAAAGCAGTGCCTCATGAACTTCCTAAATCCATCTGCTGCTGCGTTGAAGCTCCAGCTAGGGTGGATGAAGTTCCAGCCTGCTTGGCTTTAGATCCACCCCAGGGGCTGGTGCAGCAGACTTCTGGGTGTGTCTGGGTGGTCGTGGAGGTGTGGTCCCTGCCCCCTTCCTCTGTGGCACTGTCCCCTGCTCTGCTTCGTGTCCACCATGAACTGAGCAGCTTTGCTCCACCACACCCCTCACCATGCTGGCTCTGCCTTGGAGCAGCGACCATGGACTGAATCCCTCGAGCAGATTACACCTCTCCTTGAAGCTGGAGCGCACTGACCGGTGCCATGGAGGCTCCCAGGCTCGGGACTGTTCCATCTGCTGTGCCCAATGCAGCTGCTCAGTGACTCCTGCCCAGCGTTGAGGCTTTTGCTGTGTTTTCTTCAGAGTTGGGCACAGCTATGCTCTGTTTGTCTGCCCAGACTTTAATAGAAGACCAATCAATAACTTCAGCCCGGAAGCCATACTGAGTCCTTCCCCTGGATCTCTGGCTGGTCACTTACACCTCTTTTGTTTTTACTAAGATAATACTGTGCATCATTTCTGACAAATATTTTATGAGACAAAGTGGTCTGGACCATTTCAAGGAGAACAAAATCCTTTTTTTTTTTTTGGTACCAGGGATCGGACTCAGGACCTTGCACTTGCAAGGCAGGCGGTGGAACCACTGAGTTAAATCCCTGGCCCACAAAATCCATTTTTAATAAAGGCAGTATTTTTGCATTACAAAGTTTATATACACTGATCATTGCAAAGTGAGCTGAAGGTTGAGGGCTATCGCAGAAGTGCAGGAGCGGCAGTCGCCTGACAGCTTTACCCAGTGCCCATGTGTGTCCCACTCTGCTCACCAGGCGTGGGCACCACCCGCCAGCGGAAGCAGTGCTGGTGGCGGTCCCTACGTGTGGCCAGAGTGTCAGCCCTGCTCCCAAACAAGCTTCACATGGAGGCTCACACCATTCTCGTGAGCATGCGAGGGTCCCACCGCCAGGATTCAGCCAGGGGGCACCAAGCCTGAAGCCCAGGTGACCTGCCCGCTGACACTGTGCCAAGCCTGCCACCGTGTGCCTTCTCTGCAAGGAGGAGGCTTGTGGGAATGGGATGCTCGCGGACACGAGTCAGATGTCCAGCATGAGACCGTGGGTGGGAATCTGCCTCTGCCGGGTCACTGGTCGATCCGCCACCCAGCCTGTAGGCTGTTTCCAGCGCTGTCAGGGAGTCACTCAGTGGGCTGCAGGTGCAGTGCCCTGTTCAGTTGGCGTTCCTGGGAACAGGCACCTCCCGTGAAGAGGTGTGAGTTGCCATCCCGAGACTGGGTAAACATGGGCGGGTGGGGAGTCACTGCCAGGTCCTGGCACCAGTCTGTGTGTGGAGGCGCTGTGGCAGATGGAAAGAACAGCCCTGCTCTGTGTGGATATGCAGGCTGGGGAGGCCGGGCCAGGTGTGTCCCCGGATCCCAAAGTCACCTGTCGCCTGGCACAGTGATGGCTGTGCTCAGGTGGGGTATCGTTACAGCTGCTCAAGTCTTCAGTCCCAGCAGCCTGCTCTTTGCCTGACGCATGAGTGAGTCCTTGTCATAAGGAGACTGGTCTGTCTGGGCATGGTCACATGTCCCTGTAATCCCAGAACTTGGGAGGCTGAGGCAGGACGATCGTGAGTTGTCTCAAAAATAAAAATTTAAACAAATGAAGTAGTTGATCTGCTCATGTTGATGGTGATGCCCACCTTTCTGTGAGTGTCTCAGTGTCCACAGCCTGGCTGGGGAGCAGATGGTCTCAGTGCCACAGCCACAGGACCGTCAGATGGTTCCTGAGGGCCAGGAAGCTGCACCTCTCCTCAAGGTGTTTGAGCAGATTGGCGTTCAGCATGACAGCTGGCAGGTGGAAACCCAGAAGGGGCTGGGATGATCGCGCAGGGAGGGCGGGACAACCCCTGAGATCCTGTCCCCTCTGCCCTGCAGGACAGATGCCCTGCTGCTGAGGCTGTCGCTGGTGGTGGGCAGGGAGGTGTTCTACACAGCGCTGTGGGGCGGTGTGCTGGCCAGCCCAGCCATCCGGCCCCCTGCCTCGCTCTTCGTGGTGAGCCACATCAGCCGGGACTCGCCGGGCCAGGAGCAGAAGTTCATGCTGGGCACCGACCACCAGCTCACGGTGCGTGCTCGCTCCTTCGGGGCTGTCGGGCGAAGCACGGGAGCAGGTGGTCACTGGGGCTGCCCAGGGACATGGCCGGGGGGGGGGGGGGTCCCAGTCCTGGGACGGTGGGACGGTGAGCTGCCGGGAGGCGACATCACTCAGTCCAGGACGGTGGGGGTGCTGCTTTCACCATGATTAAGATGTGTGTCTGAGGAGGTGGTGTTCACAGCCAGGAGCCCCGGAGCCCGAGAGCCTGCTCCGCAGCTCGGCTGGTCACTGCCTCGGTGGCTTCAGTCCTGTGCCCCCCCGCCCGCGGTCACGTCACATGTGAAACTCCTCAGTCTCCGCCCTCTCCTCTGGCTGCTCTCACACCTCATCCTCGGGTTACCCGGTGTCAGCGTCATCGCAGGCCCTTCCAGGGAAGGAAGCCCTCCTGGCCAGCCCACCCCTTCCAGGAACCCGGAAGTGGGAGCTTCCTGGTCTCTGCCCGGCGCATACCGCCTCTGCTTTTCAGGGCTTGCTCTCTGTCGCCACCTGGTGGAAGACCCATGCTTTGAATTTGAAACGTGCAACTGAATTCATTCCCCACGAGGGCTGTGGCTTGGCGTGGATGAGCTTCCAAGCCCCGGCCTGTCCGCAGGGGATGGCAGCGGGCCTTCCCTGGGATTAAATGCAAATGATGAAAAGCTCCTCACTGATGATGGCACAGAGGAGACCCCGTAGACAGGCTTCCTTCACCCTCTCTCTCCATTTTCACAGCCCTGCTTCAGCTCCTTACGTTTTCTCTTGGTTCTTCTCTGTCAGGTTTCTCCCACCCACTCTGTACCCATCCAGGCTGTGACATGTGCTTTGCTGAAGCACAGCCTTGCTCACGTGTGTGCTGTGCACACCACAGGACAGGCCTTGCTCTCCAGGCCCCTCTGCATGCTGCCAGGCTGCCCGGGGCCTTGGGGTCCCGGCTGCTCTCCTCTTGCATGACAGCCCTTCCCGGCCTGCTGCCCTGGTCTTTGTGTGGCCGCTCCCTGTCCCTGCAGCTCACTGCATGTCCCGTCGAGCTCCCATGTTCCGTTCTAGCTTTTCCTGAGCTTTGTGGAGAGCTTAGGCACGAGGGCGCTGGATGATCCCTTCAGTGCACGGAGATGCCCTGGGATTGGTGGAATCATCGCACCACGTATTTTCAGCTTTACTTTAACCCAGGTTCCTGCTGTGCCCCTTCTGGGCTCATGGCTTGGAGACCCAGAACCCAGCCACCTGTCCAGTGCCCCCAGCTCTCATGGGATGGGTTAGGCTGCCCTGCCCCACTGTTCTGACCTGCAGCTTGTTCTCCGCATGGCTGCCGTGCTGATGCCAAGGCCCCAGGAGAAGTGGCCGGGTTGCATGTTTCCGGAAAGGACTGTTAGTGTCATTTGTCGTTCACAGGTGAAGTCACTGTGTGCATCACTGTTGGACTCGAATGTGCTCGTGCAAAGAAATAATCTGGAAATCGTTCTGTTTTTCTTCCCGTTCTACACCTGTCTGGTAAGTCCTCTGTTCTACTTCTTCCGAGGGGTGGTGTAGGGGCACCGACTTCCAGCAGGGTCTTCGTGAGAGGAAAGCGAAGCCGCTTCGTGGTCACTGTCTGTTTTTGTCAGTCACAGGCCCTGGTTCCTTTTCTTGCGGGTGGTGTTTCCATCACAGATACTGAATAGCTTCTTTGCCGGGAATGTGGAGCACACCAGCCTCTTTCACATGTGTGGGCGTGGTCCTGGGGATTGAACTCGGGGCTTTCACACTGAGCTACACCTCCAGCCCTTTTATTTTTTACTTTGAGCAGGGTCTCATTAAGTTGCCCTGACGAGGCTCAAACTTGCAGTCCTCCTGCCTCGGCCTCCCAGAGTGCTGGCATTGCAGGCATGCACCACCATGCCTGGCCAGATCAACCTCTTTTGGGAACAGCCTTTTGGAATAAATGGTTAAAGAAGGGCTGTGTGTCAGAAAGTCAGCAACCTCCTTCATTATTCCTTTCCTGACCTGAAGTTTTCTCTGTCCTTCCAATAGGATCCCAATGAAAGAACCATTCCCCTGCTCAGAGCCGACATTGTCCACCTCCTCTCGGCTGCCACCCAGACCCTGCTTCGAAGGGACATGTCCCTGAACAGAAGGCTCTACGCCTGGTTGCTAGGTACCGAGCAGTAAGCAGTCATAAAGTCAGTGTATGCGGGGCCTGGAAGTGCTGACTTCCAGTCTTGGTGACGGGTCTCTGAGTCACAGAGTGGAAAGACACCACACTGACTAAGCACAGCTCTGGTCAGTTAAGTCTCCTGCCCACAAGCAGCTTTGGCTCTTTGCAGCTTTAAACGAGGCGAGGAGGAATAAGTAGGATTTTTTAAATGCCAACTGAGTTCAATTTTAAGAGCTTGAAATGTCACCCCTCTTGTTAGAAGCTAGACCTTACTCTGTTGGAAGTTGGCTCTCTGGAGAAGTTTCCTGGGAGAAGGGTGTGTGTGGAGAAAACCCAGGACATTGTGGAGTACATGTGAATACAGCATCGGGGATGCTTGCGGAGGTATTTAGGTACCCTGTGCGAGTGTGAGGCCTTACATGAGGTCCCCAGGCCCCTCGTGCACACACCTAGGAGTGGTGCTGTGCAGCTCGCTTGTGCGAGAACAGTGCGGCCTCACTGAACCTCATCGACAGTCACGTAACTCTCATTCCAAGGCCAGGGCCCCTGCAATTTCTTCTTCCCTTTCTCTCTGTAAAACTTGGAAGAGTCACTGCAAGGAAGTTTACTTCAGGGTCTTAAGAAGACTATTACAGGCTCTTTTAGGATTTTTAGTGAAGGGATGAAGTTGTTAAATGCGTGGCTCTGCTCCTAGGAGGCAGGTCTTGGTATTCTAGGTACGGGGGACCCTGGGCTCCACCAGCCAGGTCCCAGGAGCCCCGTTGTCTTTGCTGGGCCATGGAAGCTGGTGGGCTTGCCGGGCCCCTGGCTGAGGGGAGGGTATTTGTGCGGCTTGCTTGCCTACACACACACACACACGCGCACACACACGCGCACACACACGCACGCGCGGGACTCTGGTCAGCAGACTCGGCTCTGTACAGCCTTGCCCCGTCAGCGCCTTGCCATCATACGCGTTAGACATGGGGGGAGTTCTTGAGGCAAACTGGACTGATGCCCACCGAGTCGGGGTTCTGCCTGCCCGATCCTTAGCCACAGCCGTCAGAGTGAGATGCAGGGCTGGGGCCGTGGTGCCATGGTAGAGCTTTTGCCAGGTGTGTGCGCAGGCCTGGGTTCAGTTCCCAGAGTGGGAAAAACAACAGAAAGATACAGCATGGTCTGATCTGGGTTTTCTTCTTTTCTTTTTTTTTTTACCTGGATACAGGAAAGTTTGTTGTAATTCCTGAGAGTACCAAAAAAAATTTTTTGGCACTAAGAGAGAGTGAGCCAAAATGATCATAAGTTCAAGTCATAGCTGAAAAATTAAAGACCTTTCAAGAACCTTTCTCAAAATAAACAAATAAATAAATGCTAGGGAGGTAGCTTTAAGGATATAGGATTAATCCCTAGCACCTCCCAGAACAAAAAAGGCCTTTTTCTCACCTTCTGTGCCCACTACTCCTTTACACCCCCGCCTAGCATTCCAGCTGTATGGATAAACCACACAGTTGTAATGTGCTAGAAAAGGTCTTTGAATGTTGCACTAAAATTGACCTCTCTGCCTCAGGGAAGGCACAGTTTCTACATGTTTTGTTCATTGATACATTTATAACATTTTGAAGTTTAAATAGTACCACAGAGTCCAAACTTTGAAGATAAATGGATCCGATCTGTAGAGGAGACCAATAGTATTGCATGACTTACGTATTTCGTGCCTTTTAAAAATTATATTGATACATTGAAGATATACAATATGATGACATTCATCATTGGAAATTTGCACCTTTACGTAATCTCTCTTGGTTCTTATTTTTTCCCCCTTCCCCTGCCCTCCCTTCAACCCCTCGATCCCTCCCTATTTACAAAGACTTTGTTTCCATTTTTCCACTTTCTCATATTAATTCCAT